TGTGTCTACACTACTCATTTTCTGTGATATAGTGGAAAGGGTATTACATTTGTAGTCAGAGAACTGAGAATCAAAGCCCAGTTGCTTACCAACTGCAATCTTGGGCAAATTACTTATTCTTTTTTATCTTAGGTTCCTTTCGCAAAATAAGGAGGTTTGACTGGATGACCTCTATGATCCCTTCTGGCTCTAACTCTATGGTCATTAGTGGGCTGCCTGTCATCTACCTCCAAGATAAAATATAAAATCTTCTATTTGATGTTCAAAGTTGGTCATAACCTGATTTTCCTCCCTACCCTTCCACTCTTCATACAACTTACATCCCCTATTATATGCTGGGCGATTCAGTACCAAAAATACCTTTTTGAGAGCATCTTTATTGTTCCTTAAACAAGAAACTCTATCTCCCAACTCCAGGCATTTTCAGTGCCTGTTCCCCATACCTGGAATTCTCTCCCTCCTCCTCTCTGCCTCCTTGGATTTCTTCAAGTCCCAGCTAACATGCAACCTTCTACAGAAAGCTTTCCTCAATCTATCCTGATTCTAGTGCCTTCCCTCTGTTGATTATCTCCAATTTGTCCTGAATATAGCATTTTTGTATATGGTTGTGTGCATGTTGTCCTCACCAATAGACTGTGAGCTCCTTGAGAACGACTGTCTTTTGCTCTTTCTTAAAATTCCTAATTGATTAACACAGCACCTGGAATATAGTAGGTGTTTAATAAATGCTAGTTGGCTATATTATTTACTGAATAAGCCAGGGATGGGAAACCTCCAGCCTCAAGGTCATATGTGGCCCTCTAGGTCCTCAAATGCTGCCCTTTGATTCAGCCACACTTGAGGACCTAGAGGGCAACCTGTGGCCTCGAGGCCACAGGTTCCCCACCCCTGGAATAGGCATTCTTCATCCATTTGGTTCTTCCTGGGTATACTACTAAGATAATTTCTTTTGAGTGGATGTGCATTTAACTGAAGAGGTCCTGTATAGTTTGATGACCCTGGGGCTGGATGCAATCAGCACAATATCATCCTCACATAGGAACACCTGGCAGACTTCACTATCTACAGTATATTTGTACTCTGCAAGATATCCTTCATGACAATGCTGAATGGCTTTTGACAGCTTACATTGCCCTGTCTTGTGCTTTGCATGATGCTAATAGAGCATAATCATGTAAAGTTCTCTCTATGGTAGCATCTATTAAGGCCAGGAAACATCTTGTTGAGTGAGAATTCATGTTTTCGTCTACCAAATCAAATGTTTTTTTTAAACTTAGAAAATAATAAACATAGTTGTAAGTGCAGTAAAAAACATACTAAATGTTAGCTAATTTTATTATTATTTAGACTTATCATGTCCTCTTACCACTTTTTGCTTAGAGTCTTATATTTTCTGTGCCTATAAGTTTAGTGTGATCATGAATCTATGGTATACATGGAAAATAATTTGAAAAAGTCTTCCTGTTCCCTCCTCATTTTTTCTGTCAAGAATAACTTTGCCATGTGTATTGATCATTCTTATATTTTATGAAGATGAAGAAGTAGGCAACTATATCATTAGTGATGGATATCTTTTCAATTGTCTTCTTCTGAGGGTAGCATGATTTGTTTTTTATGTTTGGGATCTTTTACTTTTTGATATATCTTAAAAAGCAAATAATCTAATTAGTTCCAGTTTTCTTTCTAAAAATGTTTTAAACTCTTCTTTACCATTGATCATCCATCTTTTGTCCTGTGTAGTTAAGCTAGATTTGCAGGATATGCTCTATATGCCTTGGACTTTGTAGCCTTGGGTTTTTTTTCTTTTCTGGAGGTGATCCGTGAATTTCATTTTCTCTGATAAGAAATTCTGGGCATATGTCTTATTATTTCCTTCATTATGATGTTATTTTTTTTGTTCTGTTGTGCTCTTCTGGGAGACCTATGATCTTTACGTTGTCTCTATGCAGCTTGTCTTTGAGAGTCAAATGTTTTGCTTGCATAATGACCATTCTTTTCTTAAGCTTGCATAATGAGTTTCTTTTCATGTTGTTTTTTGTTTCTGCTTTTCTAGGTTGTTCTACATGCTTGTGTATTTGCATCCCCAATTTACTGTTCTTTTTTTGTTTCTTTGGTGAAGCTTGCCATTACAGATTCAAAATTTTTTATTCTGTTCATTATTTTTGCTGTGCAGAACATAAATCCTGTCTTCATAATGCTCATTTCTCTTTTAAACAACTCAGGAACTGCATGTTGTGGTTCCATGTTTTTCTCAAATTCCACAGGGTCAACTGTCTCATCAATTTTTGGATCATTTTCCTCCACTTTGCAGTATTTATTCTTAGGTACCTGAACTTGTTTACTAGATCTGGAGGTCCTATTTCCTTCTGTTTTTACTATTTTTCCTATTGATTTGTTTATGTTCAAGGTCTTTGAGTTTTCTTCCTGAAATCTTTGGTACTTTCAGTCTCCCCACCTTGGCCTTATTTTCCTTATCATTCACTTCCTGACTCCCTCCCCTCAGTTTGTGGTTTCTTTGGGTGCTGGATTGCAAAGTTGCTTAGCCTCTCCCATGGTGGGGAATCTATGGTTCACTAGCCTAGCTCTCTGCCCCCACTAACTTTTGAGTGCTCAGAACAAACCCCAGCTGGATGTTGTGTTCTTTCAGATTTGCTGGAGTACTGCACAGCTCCCCACATGAGCAGTGTCCTGTCCTGATGACCTGTTCTATTTCTTTAGTTCCTTAGTTCTCTGGCCCAGCACTAGGATTTCAAGCCTTTATAGCACTAGTCCTTTTGGTTTGTAGCTCCTGTAAAACTTTTGCTCCTGAAGGGCTGTGGCCAACTGGCTCTTGAGGTCTAAGAAAACTTCCATAGTGTACAGCTGTAGTCTCCATGGCATTGGAAAGAGGGTAGAGGTAAGAGGGTACACGGGTGGGTTTTGATATAAGCCTGTGTCATGTTATTGTGACCTTGCTGCCACTAAGGTGGGAGAGAATGATGGGGGGGGGTAGTGCTGAATGAGCTCAGGGTTAGAGAGCTTCAGTTCCTGGGTTTTTTTTTTAAATCTTCTTTTGTATTCTGGGTATCCTATACCATGGAAGTTACTTTATCTTTGGCACACAATTTCTGTGTTGGAGAGATTTGAGAGGCTATGGGGATCAGAAAAAACCATCCACTTTACCATCTTGTTGCTCACATGACTCAGAAGCCAGATCTCTTGAAAATCAATCCTTTGATGCTTTCAAAACTTTGTTACTTACAGCAAGAATTTACCTCTGTGTTTACTTGGTCTGGTTTAGCTTCTCTTCCTGACTTAATTTTTTTAAGTGCCATTTTCACTTCTTTATATATAATACATTGAGCATCAAGGTATTAGCATTCAAATGTGGTAGTTCTACTGTTATTGGCTATGAAAATAGATGACTGCATAGAAGTGCTGACAGATCTGTTCTATTTTTCACTTATTTTTGCTCCTTCCAGTCACACCTTTAACTATTCTTGGATAATTTGGTTTAACTATGTTTAATGTCCAAATCTCTTAGACTTGGGTGGCATAGTGGATAGAGTCCTGAGCCTGGATTAAAGAATATCCATGTTTAAATCTAGTCTCAGACATTTATTAGATGTATGATCCTGAGCAATTCATTTAACTTTAGTTTGCCTCAGTTTCTCCACCTGTAAAAGGGGGCATAATAATGATACCTATCTTGCAGGGTTGATGTGAGGATCAAATGAGACAATAAGTATAAAGCATTTAGCACAGTGCCTGGCAAATAATAAATGCTATATAAATGTTAGCTACTATTATTATTATTATTATTCTATTTGCCATGTCCTCTCCCACTTTTTGCTATTTTTGTGAAGTGATACACTGTTGATTATATTCCCCCGTGTTTCTCTGTGACATTCTGCAAATTAGTTTGTAGTCTAAGCCAGTGTTATATTTGGCTAACATCATATTTTGGTAGGTTATTGCAGGCTAAGGTAGTCTGGGGACTCTTTCAGCTTATGCATTATGGTTATTTACATTAGTTAAACTTCTGTAGGAAATTGTGCTAACCAGGAGTCAATATCTTTTCCATTATCCACTTCCAATTTTTCAGCATTAATAGTTTGTTCAAGTAAGTCAAGTTGGAACCACTGTTAATTTCATGCAGTCTTTCTTAGCTTTATCCTTTAATATAATTTAGTATGGATTTTGAACTTTGCTCTAATTAGTAATTTTTATAACTATGTACAGAAAACTGATTCTAACATGGTATCAATAATCAGTAATTTATTGTAAACTAAGATAGCGTAAATTGAATTTTGTGATGTTATTTGGCTCCAAATATGTACAATATTTTCCAACCCTCTTTTCAAGGAAGTACATTGATAGGAGGTTTCTGACTAGTCCACAAGATTTTGGCTTTTTCATTTCTTAATCTTCAACCATATTTTCTAATACATTTTCTACAATTTCCCCTTATTGCCTTAAAGTCACTAGGAATCAAAATTATATTGACTTGGTTTGATTGTTCTTGCCAATATCTTCAGAGATTTTCTCTTACTCTTCATCATGTGTAACAGCTGGCAAAGCATGAGTTGCAATTACCTTCAGGGTGATTTTTTTGCCTATGTGTGAATAAAGAAAGGTGATATTACTAAGTGTCCCATAATAACATATTTTTGGTTGCCTTTGGGGACACTATAAAATCACTTCTAACTCATTTATTAGTTCCTTCTTGGACAACTTAGAAGCCATTCTTTGGTTTAGTTGAAACTTCCTTAGTCTTCTGGTGCCATTAAAAGCAACAATTTTGACATTATTTTTTCCAAGCTCCACCTTCAAAAGTAAAATATAAATAATTTTTTGGGGGCAAAAACCACTATTTGGATTATCCATTCCACAACTTTTCTCGATTTCTGTGAATAACTGAGAATTGACTATAATAAATACTTCAGTTTGACCTTTTTTGTTATTTTATATCTGTATTTGATGAAGAAAATAAAAGTGGAATTTTTTTTGTTTGATTGAAGCAGACACTGAAGTTTCCAAATTACATGTGAGAAAATAGAAGACAAAAAATTGCCCCTCAATCTACAGAATAAAAATTCAAGGCTATGATGAAACCATTCTGATGAGGTCTGCATCCCTAGGTAAGCTCTTAAATATGCAATTACTGCAATTCCCTCCCTTGGCTCATAGTGAGGAAAAATGAATATATTTTTTACCTCTTTTCCTAATGAGAAGAGAAAAGGCAGGTCTTAGTATGTCCATAAAGTATCTCTTGCCCATAAGTAAAAGTAGTGACCAAAGGCTATTGTCAAAGCAGTGGGAAACATATTTGGTTTAAGAAGAGTCAAATTAATTCACCAACTCTTTACATACAATGTGCCTGTACTATACCAGGTTCTATGGAAGATACAAAAAAGGGAGAAAAGAAAGAAAAAAGACACTGTGATTATCATAAAGGAACTTACAAACTCTTCAGGAGGTAAGATTTCTACTAATGAAACAATTAGAGAATAATATAAATTACAACATAATCAAGTGACTGAATGTGCGGTAAGTCAATATCTGTTGTGGGAATTAAGGACCCAAACTGTGACATTTTAAGGCTTACAAAATGCCTTCCTCACAATAAACCTATGAAATAAGTAGTCATTTTTTGCTACTATTTATTACTATATTATCTCCATTTATACATGAAGGAAACTGGGTTCAGACTGATTAAGTGCTGAATTCAAATCTGGCCTCAGACACTTACTGGCTGTGTGACCCTGGGCTAGTCACCGTTTGCCTCAGTTCCTCATCTGTAAAATGAACTGGAGAAGGAAATGGCAAGCCACTCCAGTATCTTTGCCAAGAAAACCCCAAATGGGGTCATGAAGAGTCAGACAGGACTGAAAAATGACTGAACAATGATTTCAGGCTTAAATGGCACATGTCCTTGGGGCCTCACTAGGTTAAATCTAGATCCTTACTGCAGTGCTTGGATTGCTTCTTTTAGCCCTTCATAATGGCTCAACTCCCCTGATAAACACCATGAGAAAGTCCTATCTCATAATCTGAATGGATACATTGATACTGGGCAAAGGCTACTTTGAAGAACATCTTTAAATAGGGAGTACTTCCTAAAAGTAGGGCAAAGATGAAAAATAGTACACCTCAAATGGAGAACATTGCACACAGTAGGAATTTAATAAATGTCTTAGTTCTAGTGCCATCTCCTTGTTGATTGTTTCCAATTTGTCCTATATATAGCTTGTTTGTACATAGTTGTCCAATTTTTAAAACATTTTTATTTAAAGTTTTGAGTTCTAGATTCTATTCCTCTCTCCTTCCCCTCTCCCTTTGCTGAGATGGTAAGTAATCAGATATAGGTTATACATATGCAATTATGTAAAACATTTCTATATTAATGAAAGAAAGAAAGTGAAAAACAGCATGCTTCTGTCTGTATTCAATCAATATCAGTTCTTTCTCTGGAGGCAGATAGTATGCTTCATCATTAGTCCTTTGGGATTGTATTGCTGAGAATAGCTAAGTCATTTACAACTCTTCATTGAACAATACTGCTATTACCGTGTACAACATTCTTCTGGCTCTATTCATTTCAGTATGCATCAGTTTGTGTAAGTCTTTCCAGGTTTTTCTGAAATTGTCCTACTTGTCATTTCTTATAGCACAATAATATTCCATCACAATCATATACCACAGCTTGTTTGGCCATTGCCCAGTTGATGGGCATCCCTTTGATTTCCAATTCTTAGACAACACAAAAAAAGCCGCTATACATATTTTTGTTGTCTATAGTTTTTTTTTTACTGTTGTCTCTCCCATTAGACTGTGAGTTCCTCGACAAGAACTGTCTTTTACCTTTTTTTGTATCCTCAGTGCTTACAGAGTGCCTGGCACACATCTAGCGCTTAATTAATATTTATTGACTAACTGTTGAATGAATGGACTTTTAAAACTCCAGATATTCCTGTCTCAGGAATGACCTCATCTAATGAATTGGACAAGGATATGGATTTTAGGAGAAGAGGGTTCTGCCCAGAGTGGAAGCAACTTGAGGCAAGTATAGGTCTCATTCTTCTTTATATCACCTACAGCTAGCAAATGCATTTCATGGGTGCCTAAAAATTTGTTGATTATTTGTAGGTTATCAATATCTGGGAAGTAATGATGGAGTATTGCTTCGATGCTTTGTGATTCTTGACCAATTCTCAACTGGATGATTTTTAAGCCCTTTGGCTTAAATTAAATTTGGACATCAATACAAGGGCTAAGAAATGGATTACAGGTACAATGCAACTCCAGTTTTAACCAGATTAATGCATTATTAGTACCTGAATTGCTACGTCTTTCCACTGAAAATAAGGATTTACCATTTCATCTTTCTCCCAGAGATTGTGAAAGAATAGATTAGACACAGAGGACTTTAGGTTGAAAGAGACCTTTGAGGCCATCTAGTCCAATATCCTCATTTTACAAATGAAGAAACGGAGGTCCTGAGTGGTGAGGTGACTTGCCCATGGTCACATCGCTGGTAAATAGCAGCTCAGGATTGAATTCAAGTCTCTTGATTGCATGGATGCTGATTATACACAAAGAGCTTCTAAAACAAGTCTGAAAGCTCACAATTGCTCACTCTTGTCCTTCATAGCTTATGTTTGGTTGGCTGCAGAGCAATGGTAGATAAGTCAGAATATGAGTACTATGAGATCCAGGTGGAAAAGTCTCTAAGTCCAAATGGCAGGCGAGGCACAGATGTGCTGACTGCACGCTGCGTCATAGCTGTGCTGTGGTATGGGTAAGGAAGTAAAGGGCATCAGGCTTACCGTGTAGAAGTCTTATTGCCACAAACCACACCTGTGGTTAAAGCTATCTCCCTCTCACTCAGTCCAATGCAAAGCATCCAGGTACAAAGGCAAGACACCTGGGCTCTCAACAACTTGGGTCACTGGAAAAAGCAGTGCAAGTAAAGGACCTTTCATCACTTGGGGGATCTGGTGGGACCCTTGTTTATCGTATTGAATGTACTCCTGTTTCCACCTTCTTTCCTTATAGATCTCCAACAGATTTATGAAAGGGTCCTGCCAACAGAGCTTCAGTAGTACATCAGTGATAACAATATAAACCTTGGTTCAACAATTAGTTACCATTAAGACCATCTTACTAACCTCTTTGGGACATGCAATATTTAGATAAGGCATAGTCCTTACCCTCATGGAATTTACAGTTTAGCAGGCAGTTTAGAAAGATAGGTAGCTCTGATATATGACCACAGAATTGATTACTTCAGTGGCTATCTAGTTCAATCCATACCCAAAAAGTGTTGCAACATATCCTATGACTGGTCAATCTGCCTCCCTTCTCTGTTCTCCCATTCTGTAACTATTGCTCTGGTATAATTTCCTTCTTATACTGTCTTGCATCACTTCCACCATCTGCTATCATTTATCATTGAATCCCTTGCTCTTTCATCAGGGACACCTAGCCAAACTCTCATCATGGATTATCTCTGCTAATTTCCTTCTCTGCTATCATGGTACCCATGTGAACTCTTCTGAGATTTCTTCTGGAGAAAGCCAAGCAACCATGACAAAACGACTCTGAAAAACTTTAGAGTTTTGATCAATGCTATGAAAAACCCACAAATCCAGAGGAATGAAGATGAAACTTGCCACCTACTTGCTGTCAGACAGGTGATAGATAGACTTAAAATGCAAAATGAGATATACATTTTTTAATGATCAACATGGAGATTTATTTTGATTCATATTTGCTATGAGGGTTTTATTTTTCTTTTTTTTCCCTTTTATTTTTTACTGTTCAATTGGGGGAGGCAGTGAGAGGAAGAGATAATACATGTTTGCAAAAGGAAGAATGAAAGAAAAGAAAAAGAGAGGTCATTTAAGATATTGGGAGCCAGTAATATATTTTTTAAAAGTCCAATGATTTGTTGACCAGGTTCTTCTTTTATAATTAAAGCTTGAAAGAATCCAAGAATGGATTGAAGTTTACCATAGATGAGGTTTATCATTGAAGGAGAGGACACAGATAGGATAGCAGGATAGGATAGAAGGCTTAATGGAAGGCTTTTCCTTCTACCTCCCCTTCCCTATTAGAAGTGAGAGATTAGGAAGATCTAAGCATATTTGTAAGCAGATGAGAAGGACTCAACAATTAGGAAGAGATTAAAGAAATGATTTAGTTTGAGTGAGAGGTTTTGACTCACAAGGTAAGGTCCTGGAAAGAGGCTGGAGAGAATGAAATCACTGGCATGGGTATGGAGGGATTATTGAGTAGAGATAAATCTTCTATGAAGAGGGGGAAGGTGGGTTATTATGCTGAGAAGTTAAGGGAAATTGAGGTGGCAAACCTAGGGAACTCTTATCAAATAGCCTTGATTTCTTCAGTGAGGGTAAATCTTTACTATAATTGTATGGTGGGGAAGGGAAGAAGTGCAATTGGCCTGAAAGGAGAGAATAAAAAGTTTGGAAGTCAGTGTGGTAAATTAAATATGAGTCAATTAAGTCTAGATAGAAGGACACTTAAATAGCAGCAAAACCCCAGCTGAGTTTGTGTACCAGGAATTTGTAGTGGTTGAAGATGACTCTTTTTTTAAATCCCCAATCACTCTCTTCTGTGTTGCCTGTCCCTTTGTAACTCAAGCCTGGGCTGCTTCTCTCTACATCCACTCTGCTTCTCTCTACATCCACTCTGCCTTCCTCTTCTTTCTAATTCTTTGGATGTTTTGGCTATTTAGCTATCTGACTTAGAGCCAGCATCCATTGTCAAATCTTGTTGACATCTCCACAATGTCTTGTGCATGGCCCCTTCTCTTTACTCTCACAGTCACAAACTCAGGCCCTCATTACCTCCTGCCAGGATTATTGCAATAGTTTCCTAATTGGTCTCTCTGTTTCAAGCCTTTCCCCCTCTCAAATCAATTTTCCACATAGCTGCCAAAGTGATTTTCCTATAGAATAGTTCTGACAGGTCACTATACATTGCCCCCTCTAAATTTCAGTGGGGTTCCTAAATACTTTGACATTTAAAGCTATTCACAAGTTGGACCTTTTCTATCTTTCCAGTCTTCTCCATGCACCCTACATATGTTCTCTTCTCCCATGTTTTGGCCTTTGCATTGGCTGTCCCCATATGTGGAATGCTCTTTTCTTCTTACCACTACCTCTGATGGTCCCCTAGATTCTTTCAACACTCACCTTAAACACTGCTTTCTGCAGGAGGCCTTTCCTAGTTCCCCCAGATGCTAGTGTCTTCTGTTCTAAGTTTACCTTTCATCTACTCTGTATGTTTTGTATGTACCTATTTCTCCTATTTATCTTGTTTTCCCCACTAGAATCTAACTTGCTTGAGGGCAGAGACTTTTTACCTATCTTTGTACCCACAACCCTTAGCACAGCACTTGGCACTTCTTTGGTATTTAATACATGCCTGTCAATTGATATATGATACACTACTATAGTAAGACATACAGAGTGGCTAGATCTTTGCAAATATCCATGATTCCATCATTGCATTGAATTTCTCCTGGTCCAAACTTAAACGAGAACAAAAGTCACTTATAGAGAGCAACTTTCCGGAGCTGAATCTCTCAGTGATTAGCTAGGTGCATATAGCGAAACTCCTCCCCATATAGCGTCTGTGGCAGTTCATAATGAAGGTTTTTTAAAGTTGGTAGAGCTGATATAGCTGGAACTCAGGGTCACCTCTCTGCACCTTGAGGAGGCTGAGGTGTGTGTGTGTGTGTGTGTGTGTGTGTGTGTGTGTGTGAGAGAGAGAGAGAGAGAGAGAGAGAGAGAGAGAGAGAGAGAGAGAGAGAGAGAGAGAGAGAGAGAGAGAGAGAGAGAGACAGAGAGAGACAGAGAGAGAGAGAGAATGGCGAATGTTTCCATGGGTGTAAAATGAAAGCCAAATTCCTTAAGCACCAGAACTCCTTATGAAAGGAAATAACCCAATTAAGACTTGGTTATTATCTTCCTCCAGCTACTACCCAACTTGGGTTTACTTCCCTGGGTCAGGGAGATTGGATGAGAGATTTTCGATTAGGGTGTTTAACAGGTCTTGGATTGAGAAACGAAGATCGGTGGGTGTAAAAGGCCAATACCATGCTGAGCGTTAGTGGGCTACCCTTTTCTGTGCTGTAATTTTGCCAATCCTTAGACTTTTTCAAAGTACAGTAACTATGAGAGCCTTAGAGCCTGGAACATTTTTCTCACACTTTTCCTGCTTATTTTCCGCACAAGGCGCTGTCCAGTACTCTGCACACCCCCACTCCTGGCACTGAAATTCGCGGGACTTAGAGCAAAAGATGCGGTTTACAGCCCCTTTACAGCGCTGGCCGAATAGTAGAAGAAAGCCAAAGTTCAGCTTCGTTGAGGCCTCTTATCTAGCTCGGAGCGTATCTCGGTCTAGGAGGTGGTCCGGGTGCAGGATCCAGATGCTCCTGCAGCTGCGACTCCCTCCAGCTCCGCGTTTATAGCCAGTAGAAGGAGGATGGAAGGGAGGAGGCGGCGCCGAGCTCTCGGCTCAGTGCGTTCTCTTCAGGGAGATCAGACGACTCGGCCCCAGCCTTCAGCCCCAGCTTCACCAGGGGCGTATCGCCTCCCCCCTGCATTCCAGCCCGCCTCACCCCACCGCGGGCTTTGTCCATGTGCATTGTAGCCGCTCCTCCCCATTCCCTCCGGCTCCTCCCACTCCCCAGCCCCCAACTTCCCGACTCAGCTGGGAGAGGGCCGGGGAGGAAAGGGTTAACCCCAGGGCTCCTCCAGGCGCGGAGGGATCCGGAGCCGAAGCCCGAGCGTGGTGCTGAGGCCGCCTAAGCAAAAAAAATGTCCGCCTAAGGGAGACCCACAAGTTCTATTCGGGGGCACAGCCAGCCCGCCCGGGGAGGAAGGGGCGGCCAGGCCCGAGAGCCCCCTCACCTGCCCTAATCTGAGTCTCTGCGAGGAGGAAAGTGGAGAGAGACGCCGGGAGGTGGAACGGAAAGCCCAAACCCGCTCTCCCGGCCAAAGTGAACTTCTATCGGGGTGGTTGAA